ATATATATATATATATATATATATATATATATATATATATATATATATATATATATGGATAATTTTATATATATAAAATTCATTACAGCAACTATATAATTTGTTAAATCGACTAAAGGTTTGTTTAAACGAATGTTCGTTCAAGCAAAGTCTCATTAATTCAACCACTTTTTTCTCAGTACACACATATGCACATAACACATACCTACCCGCATCACACTGTTCGTTCTCTGTGGATATTTGCGTTGTTGTTTTTGTTTCGCTTTGATTTCTGAGTATACTCTAAGCGCGGGATCCATGGGATGATGACGACGATGACAACGACGATGACGACGATGACGAAGACGACGACGAAGACGAAGACGAAGACGACGATGACGACGCATCGGAAAAAAAACATCTGGAACGACAAACGATAAAAGGACAGATACAGATAATAAAGGTTCGGGTGTGCAGGTGCGTATTTTTTTTTCGTAGAATTAGAGAACCACACACTGTTCCTCGTTCTTCTTCCACTTGTAACGTTATTTTAGTGCACACAGAATGTGATGGATTGCAATTACTCTCTTGTTGTGAACAATGTGTTTCACGCACTTTTTCGATTTTTGTTGTTGTTTTTTTTTTTGTTGTTTTTGGCCATTACTAGATATTGTGTCGTATCTTATTTTCATTTGTGTATAAAGGAACGGCTCAAAGCGATCAACGACACGCTTCGCGTTGTTTGTTCTTCGACGATTAATCATTGCTCTTGTTGCGAAAAGTGTTTTTGGATATAATAATGTAATGTGGCGATACAATGATGATAATAATAATAATAGAGATCAGCTTCCCGTCAGAAGAGACACCAGTTTACTTTGAGTATTTTGTGTTATTTTAAGCATTTGGGTTATGGAGTTCACTCCTTTCCGCGAAAACTAGGCGAAAGTGGATCTGTTACGCCCGAAACGTGGCCAATTCTAGATTCGGCTGACCAAATTAGCCAATCTCCGACAAATATAAAGGTCTGTAATCATTCCCGACTTCGGCTAGTCGGTTCTAGAACTGGCCTCAAATTGTTAGTCACAAATTTGCTTAATACAAACTGTGCTAGTGTGAGCTATATTAATTACTAGCATTGCACGAAAAAATAAAAGAAACATATATCGTATTGAATAACATAGCTGAAAGGGAAACAAAGATATATTTTTATATTACGCAATGTTGATAAACTTTTTACATGTGTTTATCTCGTATGCAGTAAATACGAACGAGGATTACCACAAAAATAAAGTAAATGATTATAAAAATGAGATAGTCATAGACTTTACATAACGATTTATGCGATTTCTTTATTATTGTTATTAACAGTCACTTATTATATTTATGTAATGCCTTTGATGGCTGTGTAGATACACCTTGCGAAAGGATCCATGGTAATATTTTCTAATTCAATTTTAGCATACGATATAGATTTATCGATTTAGTATGTTAAAAGATTTTTGTAGTATTAATCATTATAATGGTTGAAACAAAATTTATTTGATTGGTGTCGTGAAGTAGTATTATGCAGTCCATAGTTTTTCATAAATGAAATGAACAATAAATATTTAATAATTTAATAAATTTAAAAAATTTTAAAATTCAATAAATTTAAGTAAACAATAAATCGCGATATATGCTTGAAGGTAGATAAATAATTAATGTCAGATTTAGTAGATTAATGTCAGAAGGTAAATGTGTTTATAGATTAATATCAGAAGGTAAATAAATAAATAAATAAATAAATATATATAGCTAAATGCATATCAAGAATGTGCTTATATGACAAAAATCTGGTCATGTTTTGCGCTACTCAGTTTGCGACATGACTGCTTAGGATATAAAAATGTTATTTTTATCATTGAATATGACCGATAAAATCGATTAAAATGCGAAATGGCTGATTTCAGGCTTTGTCCGTAATAGATAAAAATTTAACATTAACAGTAGAATTTGTTATAATGAATTTTTTGTTTGTCTGTCAAAATAAAAAATTTGTGTTTCACAGTTTTTCTGCGAATCATTACATATGCAATAATAAATAATCTTAAATTTAATAATGATAAATCTCTCACATAATATACAGTGTCGCAATTATAAAGAGTCATGAGTAAAGTTGAAGTATACTGTATTATATGTGTGTCATATATAACAATATATACAATATATATCATATATATTAATATAACAATAATTTTCTTTTGAGTCTAATACACATAATTTAATGCATATATTAGTAATTATGACTAGACTATCGAGAAAACGAAAATTATAAAACGTGACTAAATGAAATTAAACGCTGAGAGAGGAAAAATATCTGAGAAATAAAAGAATATTTTATTATATATTTATTTAGTGGAGATATTAATAACATATTTACAAGTCTAAATTATTTTGTTTCAATAGAATAAACAATTGCTTTCATTGTTCGCAATTTTTGGGAAAATCTGTATTTCCCAAAAAAAATATGTCCTTTATATTATTTTATATTAGTCGTCGAATAAATGTTCCCTTATTTTTTCGACATTTCTTCTCTTCGTGAAGATATCGAAGTTAGATTCATCATTGTGCGTCAAATTGCATGCCGGAGCAATGATTAATCTGTATCGTAGTTGTTTCTTTGATTTTTGTGTGCTTGCCATGATGATGATGGTAATGATGATGGTAATGATGAACAAAAATAGCAACTAGCGGATTTATATTTAACACACTTTTTTCAACAGTTTTAGATTCTCTCCCGTCTTCTCGTGCGGGACGTAAATATCTCGTGCCTTCCTTCCTCTTACCGCAAATATCTTGTGTCTTCAATCGCGATGGAAGATCTTGGAGAGAGTATATATATATATTTTTTTTTTATATACATAGAAATATATATATATATATATATATATATATATA